GCTGGAGCAGGCCGGCGTGGTGGCCGCGCGGCCCGACGCGGCACCGCTGACGAACCTGCAGGACCTGGCCGGCAAGCCGCTCGGCACCGTGCACGCCTACCGCTACCCGCAGTTCGAGCAGGCGCTGGGCACGCGCTTCGTCCGCGACGACGCCCCCAGCATGCTCATCAACCTGAAGAAGCTCGCCGCCCGGCGCACCGACTACGCGCTGACCGAGCAGATCACGCTGGAATATCACAACCGCCTGCACCCGCAGGAGGCCCTCAAGGCCGCCCTGCAGACCCAGCGCTACCTGACGCAATGCGCCTTCACACTGGCGCACAAGCTGCCGCTGGAGCAGCTGGACCAGGCGGCGCGGGACATCGTGCGCGACGGCAGCGTGGAACGCATCCTGTCGCGCTACCGCTGAACACCGCCCGAGGCTCGGGCGGTGTTCGTCCCTCGTCAGGTGACTGGCGTGCCGAACGGCGACGGGCCACGCCACCGACGACGGCCATGCCGGCCAGCAGCAGCGCGTAGGTGCCGGGCTCAGGGACCGGTGCGGCGACGATGTTGAAGTTGCCGGCGCCGATACCGGCCGCACCACCCGCCATCAGTTGAGACTGCACGGCGCCTTCCAGCAGAACGAGGCTGCGGTAGGCCGCCGTGCTGCCCGGGTCCTTCTCCCAGTTCGCCATGTTGGCAATCGCCAGCTTGTACTCGGCGGCGGTCAGCCCGGCCGTCGGGCCGCTGTACCACTCGGTGCGCTGGATGACGCCATCACCGGTGCCGCCATTGGCAGCGGTGTAGTTGATGTTCTGGATGAAGCTCAGGCCTGACTGCAACGGGTTGTCGGAACCACTCGAGGGCGGTGCCGTGAAGTTGTTCAACGCGGCGACGAAGCTGGTGCCTTGCATGGCGTAGATGACCTCGCCGCTGCTGGAGAAGTCGAGGTTGTAGGTGCCGCCAGCCAATGTCGGCGCGAAGCTGAGGGACCCGGTGGTGACGTTCTTGGCACCCTGCCCCGACGTGCCGCCGCTGGTGGTGCCCGCAGCGACGTTGTAGCTGCCGCCGTAGACCACGATCTGGGTGCCGGCCGCCACGTCGGACGTGGCAGTCCAGGTCCAGGTGTTCTCGTTGTTCGCACCGGCCTTGAAGGCGCCGGCCGCGTTCAGGCCGAGGTCGGTGAAGGTGATCGTCGTGCCGGCCGTCATGTTGACGAAGGAGACGAAGGACCAGCCGCCATACGAGGACTCGCGCGCGAGGCCGGTGAACCAGAGATCGCCAGGCGACAACGTCGTGGCAGCTGGGGCAATGCCGGCCGCAGCCAGCAAGGACAGGGACAACAGGGTGTGACGGATCTTCATGATGGATCTCCTCAACGGGCGTTGTTGGATGAACGGCGGCGCGCAGCCCACAGCAGCGCGAGGCCGGCAGGCAGCAGCAGTGCCGAGGCCGGCTCGGGCACCGGCGCGGTGGCGAGCACCAGGTTGTCGATGGACACGCCGTAGTAGGGGTCGCGGTTCGTCAGCGAGAAGCCGGCGATGTCGGCCACCCCGCCGTCGCGGGCGAAGGCGACGTAGACCGGGGCGTCGTAGTCCGCCAGGCCACTCAGCTGCACGTTCTGGATCAGGCTGCCGTCCAGGCGATACAGGCTCAGCGTGACGAGGCCGTAGTCGACGTCCCGCAGTTGGAAGCCCAGCATCGACACCGGCGAGGTGAACCTGGCCGAGAGGGCCCCGAAACCGTCGGCGCTGCCGGCCTGCGTGCCGATGCCAAACAGCGCCTTGCCACTCGCATCGCCGTAGTCGTAGGCACCGAGGTTGGCGCCAGCCGAACCGGCCAGCAGCGTCAGGCCCGCGGTGGGGCTGCCGTTGCTGAGGTCGTCGAACCAGTTCTGCTGCGTCGTCGAGCCCGGCACTGGCGCCTTGACGACGGCCAGCTCCTGGCCCGCGAATCGCTCGCCGAACTGCACGCCGCCGCTGGTCAGCAGTCCGTCGATGTTGCCCTCGGCCAGCTCGGAGAAAGTGATGGGCGTGCCGTTGAGCGAGGTGTAGGCCACCGCGTTGACGGCCGCGGCCTGCGCCGCGCCGACGAGGAGGCCGAACGCGAGCGCGGCCAGGGTGTGGAGTTTGAACTTCATGATGCTTTCCTCGATCAGCGGCCGCCGCCGACGATGCTGACGTTGTCGAAATCGGCCGTGACGACCGTGCTGTTGCTGCCCGACGAGAGGGCCAGGCCGACGTAGAGCGTCGTGCCGGTCACGCTGAGGTTGGTCTTCTCGGCCCAGGTCACGCCGTCGGTCGACGCGGCCGAGTACACGGCGTTGCCGCGGCGCTGCACGCGCACCCAGACCGGTGGGGCGGAGCTCGTGAAGCCGCTGAGGCTGGAGCGGTTGTTGCCGTTGGTCGCCGCGCGGATTTCGCCGGTGGACGCGTAGCGCGCCGTCCACGCATAGACAGGCGCGCCCGCCACGCCGTCGGCCGCGACGATGCCGGCACGGGCCGAGTCGCCGCTGCCGCCCTGGCTGACGAGGCGGGCCGTGAAGGTGAAGTCACCCACCAGCGCCGTGTACTTGAAGTTGAAGGCGTAGGGTGCGCCGGTGTTGATGACGCCGGCGCCGGACATCGTGTAGGTGC